AGTAGGACGAGTAGGAGTAGGAGTAGCAGTAGGAGTAGGAGTGGGAGCAGGCGTAGGCGTAGGAGTAGGAGTAGGAGTAGTAGTAGTAGTAGTAGTAGTAGTGGTCGTCGTCGTCGTCGTAGTCGTCGTAGTAGTAGTAGTAGTAGTAGTACCTGTAGTACCTGTAGTACGTCGTCGTAGTGGCCGTAGTCGTCGTCGTCGTCGTAGTGACCGTAGTCGTTGTCGTCGGAGTCGTCAGTAGTCGTATTTGGTAGTAGTGGTGGGGGCAGCAGCAGCACAAGCAGTAACAGCCCTGGTGGTGGTTGTGGTTCACCACTGGTTTCGCCTCTACTTGGTCCACTTGGGCGAGTGTACAGCAGCAGTTGTAGCGGTCGTCGTCGTGTCAACAGTATCCTGCTGTCAGGAGGCTGCCGTGTTTTGCCAACCGGGAGCTGCTGAGGCCATGGAGGTGCCACGCCGCACAGCAAGTCAGAGTCAGGCGAACAAGCACCTCGCCATGCTCTGTCTCTGTCCCGTTATGACTCGCCGAGTCACCAGGCTCAAGCAAGAGAAGTGGTGCAGACGGCAGCAGAGGCTGCCATGCAGGCCTGCGAAGCCAGAGCGAAGCGGCAGCTGCAAATAATTCTGAAGATGCAGGACGCGGCAGAGGCACCCCTTTCCTGGCAGGTGAGTAGCGGCTTAGCTCACCCGCTCACGCACTGTGCACCTGCAACTTGGCAGGTCGACGAGCAGGCATGGGCTCGGCATTGAGAGTATATGCTGCGTCCTCGACTTACCTTCGCTAGCATCCTGGTGACAGGACCCAGCATTGCGCTGTCCGCCGATCGTGCCACCGAGAGGTCCCCTGCGTCAGAACGGGAAGTAAATGATGTAGACGTAGATGAATATGTACAACATGTACATGTAAAGGTATACGTACATGTGTACAGTGTACACGTACATGAATCATTACTGCATGCATGTACAAGTCATGTACATATGCATGTATACATATATTTTATGCCGGCGTAGACCCAAACAGTGGTGAGGGCGAGAAGAGGCCAAAGGAGACCCAGAAGAGGCCAGAAGAAGGGAAGCGCCATCATCCCCATCAGCATCATCATGATCATCCTGAAGTTCTCGCCACCACAGCGTCTGGTCGCGCTATAGACAGAACAATTGAGCGCATTTGAGCGCATTGTTTTGCTTTATGTGTGCGAAACCCTCACATTTCGAGCCACGACTAGCCAGGCAAGGGCGGCGTCTTGCAGGTGTAGCTAAAGTGGGCCTCAGAAGAGGCCACAATAGGCTGCCCCCACCGCTGCCTGCAACCTCACTGGCCCGCAAAAAAAAGAGGCAGAAGAGGCCGCCTAATCAGAAGAGGCCCTTTCAGAAGAGGTCGCCCCACCGCATGCGCCGTTGCGGCCGGCACTTAAGTGGCAGTGGGAGAAGCGGCCGCCCGGCCACCGCCTGCGCGTGCGCCGTTGCGGCCGGCAACCAAAGTGGGGCTTTTACAAGAGGCCAGAGGCCAGAAGAGGTTAGAAGAGTCAGAGGGGCCCCCACGTCGCCCCCGAGGAGGCCGCCCCACCGTGTGGGGCGGTTGCGGCCCTCAACCTTAGCGGCCGAAGAGGCCGCCCACCGCGTGCGCCGTTGCAGCCCGCAACCTAATTCCCCGGAAGAGGCCAGAAGAGGCCTCTCACACAGCGAGAGCATCGCGAGGCGACGAAAACACCGAGAGCGTTGCAGGGTGCGCAGCGGAATTCGTGCGAAACCACAGCGAGAGTGTCGAAACGAAGGCCCCGCCCCACCACCGCGTGTGCCGTTGCGGCCCGCATCCAATTCCTTTACCCTCAACGTTTTGGGGAATTGCATAAAAGTACATAAACGTGTACATGTACATGTACATACGCATGGATACATACGTACGTATATGTCTCTATATATATATACGTATGTATGTATGTATGTATGTATGTATGTATGTATAAATGCGTGCCCATATATTAATGTAATGTAATGTAATTTTGCATGCATGCATGTATGTATGTATGTAGGTAGGTATATATGTATGTGTGTGTATAGGTGTGTATGTGTGTGTACATAAATATACACTTATCGATGTCTATATCTATATATATATATAGATGTTTGCATTGTACACATACACAGTTATGTATACAGATATATTTATATGTCTATATATATATATATTGTTCATACCAGAAGGGCGAATAAGCGTACACATGAGCATGGTGTGTGTGTGTGTGTGTGCGTGTGTGTGTGTGTCAGACATTGAGCATACACGGACCGGTAGCTCGCGCGAAGGTACCGCGGTGACTTCTGGTGTCGTGACTTGGCAGAGCTACATGGCGCTACCGCTACATTAGACTGGTTTAGCTGCGTGCGGCCGACTTAGGAGTTGACTCCCACTGCTGCTGCAAGCGCAGGCTCTGCATTAGGCTACGGCTATACACGTGGTTGAGCATCCCCGTGATTGGTTCGCTCTGTGTGTATCATGAGCAAGCACAGCCGCACAAACCTGTAACAATGTTTGCGTCGGACGAATAATTGAGGTAATTGGGAGAAGTGACTTCCTTACCAGTCTGTATCAACAGCCTGTTGCATTGTGACAGCCGTGCCAAGACAAAGGTGTGCTTGTGTGGTATATGTCATATTGCTATGGGGTTTTGCAAAACTGGCCAAATGCCCGCACTTGCAACCATACTTCATACTAGGCTCCCAAACTTCCCCGCATTGGCTGCTTGGTGGACGGAGCCCAGTGACAGATCTGACGAAGGCAACCTCAAGTGGGGTCATGCTATCACACTGCCAGTGCTGATCTTGAGAGACACGGTGCGGGGTGTTTGGGCAATTGAGACTCAAATATGATAAGTGTGTGCATGCTGCCCCTGTTTAATGTCTTTACACCGGACATAACTTGTGCCAATGCCTCTGCCGCGTACAAAACAGCAGTCGTGGTCGTGGACCTGAAGTGGGCGAACGCCGGTTCAATTGCAGTGTAGAACTGGCCGACATGCTTGGCAAGCGCGAAGCAGAAGCAATTAATCGTGGCTGCAGTTGGATCTTCCTTGGTGTACTGATGCCGCCAGGAGTGTCTTCGATGGGCTCGGGATTCTTGAGACCCGGCAGAAGATTCAGATTGGTGTCGTCCAGTATTTCCCGATAGGCCAAATGAGAACCAAACATAGTGTTTTGAAATCTTGCCACAGCCTTCCGCAATTTTGCGGTTTGCACTTTGGCAGGTGTGTCCGTGGGACTTTGTCTTTGTTGGACTGTTCGAAATTGAAGACAGCAGCACAATCCTACTGCGAGATCTTGCTAGAACTTGAACAAGCAAGCCACTCGTCAAGGACAGGAAATGCTCCTGCATCAGGCTCGGATGTTGCTTGTTCGTGCTACGGTAGGATGGATTTCTGTGCTGTCAGTTCGACCATGCTTGCTAAGCTTTTGGGGTAATGTAGGATGTAACATTAAGATGAACTGGCCCTGGAACAGGAGACATTGACAAGGCCACAGCAAAGTGAGATTCTGAGTTTCAGTGCACCGTGCGCAGTCGTAGCCTGGTTTTGTCTGGCACAGCATGTGCTACGTGTGCTCTGGAGAGCACTGCTAGAGTAGAAGGATTTTTTGCATGTTGAGGGTAGCCGCATGTTCCTTACGGTTGCTCGGCTTTGGGTGTCCATGCAGTCGAAATCCTGCGAACTGACTGAGAAGGTCTGCAAGCATTCCGGTACTAAGAAGGCTGTACTAGAGCAGCACTTGCAAGGTTTTTTTTTTTTTTTGCGTGAAGCTCTAGGGAAAAATAAGGAACGATGCGTCCTATGACTTCCAAAACGGCTTTCGTACGCTGCAGCCATGAGGTCAGTGGAGAGCAAGTTGCCCAAAGTCGTGGGACCTCGTGTTATTGCGGGCCCGGGCGTCATTGCGCCGAAGGCATGGCATGACACGAGAGATTGCCCCAGCTGACATGCATGGACCTGGGAGGTCCCCATGAACCCGATCAAGCCGTCAACAGAGACGCCTGTCCCAACAGTTAGCCTCGGACTGAGTGCTTACTCGCAAAGGCTTGCTTCCGCTGTTGGGGTCCTCGGTGCCAGGTCCTGTCAGCACTGTGTAGGACTGTTTTGTGACGAGGTGTGCCTCTGCCAGCCGCAGCAGGTGCGACAGTCCAGGTGGGCTGTGTTTAGCAGGGCCGAGCTTCCACATGTCATGCAGCCGCTCCATAAAGCTGAAAACGGGGCTGCAGTGCTGCAGCCTGTTCAGGCCCCTGATCTTGCATCTTATTTGGTGCATCTACTGGCACAGGTTCGCCCGGAAATGCCACTGTTGCAGCCGCGTGGCATGCCAAAGCCCGAGTGCACAAGTCGATGGATGGCGGCTACTGAGTGACTCGCCGAGGCAGCTCAAATTGGCCAGAGGAGCAGTGCCGACAGTGTCCTGTTCTCAAGCTTGCCAAGACGCGAAGCACGAACAGGCTCTTCCACTCGCCCTTCCAAGCATGTCGCGGTTGACCCGAGGCCAATTAGTGGCACAGGTCCAAGCGCTTCGCAGGCAGCTCAGGGAACCACGCAAAAGCTTGCTCCCACCTCTCCCGCAGCCTTGAAGGAGATGCGCTTCTGCTTAGGTCCTCCGCCACCACCCCGGCAACTACATCAGCAACCACTGCGCCATCTCCGGCCGCCGTGGTACCTCGCGCTGCGGGAATGCCGGAGGCTTATACAGTTGCCTGTCAGATAGGGCTGCAAAGGCATGCGCTGCACAAACATTGGTGCAAGCTAACCAGCCAAAACGTGTCTTAGACGTTAACTACGGTTGGTATGTACGATGCCCGCTCGCCACTTGAAGAGACCATCCAGAAGATTCAAGGCACCACTGCTTTGCATTGGTTTCTTAATTCAAGATGTAGATGCCAAATTCACGGCTTGGAGGCCTTGGTTTGAGAAACCCAGCCTTGAATGTCTTAAACTTGCTGAATTTGGGGTTGAGGGCTGGCTTTTGAGTCATGCAGCCCTTCAATCTTGAGTTTAAAACATCCATCGTTGCATGACCTATGCCTTCCCAATGACTGAAGTCGCTGTATACATGTGTATATGGATATATATATATGTGTGTGTGTATGTATGTATGCATGTATGTATGTATGTACGACTTACAATTCCTCCACGCACATCACCCACCACACTACAAAGCTGCTAGCCAAGGGCCGTACCACCGCGCATGCCCACTGCGCCGGTTCAACCGGTTCGGCAAGGAACTCAATACGCATCCTGCTCTTTAGGATGCACCGGACGTGGCTTTGTATGAAGCGTGGGAGAATCTGCATTTTGCAGGCTTGCCGGAAAGATTTTAGTTGCGAAGCTAGGCTGTAGGGATGCCGAGTCAGTGCCTGCAAAGGGGGCCTCAGCCGCCAAAGGCTCCTCCGCCGGCGCTGGAAGCCGAGAGTGAACGTAGTGAACATGCACGAGACAGAGTCCAAATCGCTTGAATGCTTGAGTTTGTAATGCACGGTGTTGATCCACAGACGTGTGGGTCCTGGGCACATGTTGCCCGGGCCCTTCTTGAGCATCGCTGGGTGCAGGGGGCTTGTCAACAAAGTGGCCAGGGGCTTAAACAACATGTCCTCACAGCTGCACGATTCCTGCATGCATACACGACCAGATGCCCTGACTTGAATTCATAGGGACCCTTAGGGGGCAGGGTGGGGAGGGGAAGGAGCCCTTCGTGCCAGTAATAAGGACCTAGCAAGGCCTATTTAAGGAAGCATGGTCCCCTAACCCCCTTCCCCCTACCCCCCTAAGTTTAAGATGAGTTGAGCTTTTGAGCGCACTGTCGGGCTTGCTTGTCAGTATGCGTCGTTTCGCCCAGGTACAGTCAACAACTGCTGCAAAGGCTCCTGGAGCCGAACCTTCGAGAGGTTGCTCGGCGTGCTCAGAGAGCTATCGCTGCAGCATTCTCGCTACACAAGAAGTCCCTGACCGTGTTTTTGTTTTGTATTTTACCGCTTCGTCTCAGGTGACGCCAGCAGGACCGAACGTAAAGTCCAAGCTGGTTGCTTCTGCATGCTTCTCCTTGTCGGAATGTGCACAACACTTTGAGTGGAGCTAAATCCGAGGAGCCCCCGCAAAGAGCGGGCGCCAGAGGTGAAAGCTCCGACAGCTGCGCCCCCTGTGGTGCCAGCGCTTTATCCGCAAGCGCTGTCGCCCCCGCCGCGGCCGTCGCCTGGCCCTCATCAGTGAACATCATGACCCAAAGAAGGGCAGCCCACGGATCCGCCGGAGGCTTCCACTGTCGCCAGCCCCTGGCTTGGGAGAGGACTGCCGGGTACACTTGGCGACTCGTGCGGAAATTGGCAAAACTGCCACCAACCTGCCATGGCGAAGTTGATGACTCTTGTGGGCCTTGCTGAGACTGTCGTTTGTCACTGCATTTCCCCCGAATCATCGTGGGAATGTTTAATGTTGACACATGTCGTGAAAGGCATGTGCTTTCAAGCAGCCCATGTTGTGTCAGTCAACAGGATGCGCGGGTCTCTGGCACCACGGCCCTTGACTCAAAGATCCCTAGAGCAATAAAATTTCATGCAATGTTCAAGACCAGAGTGGGAAAGAGTTTCAGGTCGTTGTTGTTTGGATGGAGCTGTGGAGAGAAGCATGAACAGAATGGCGAGTTGTGATGTGAGAACTACCGGTAACTGGCAGAGTACACAGACCCCGCACATGTGCAGCGCGGCATAGCACGGCCTTTTGAATTTGCTTGTTTCTTCACTGCGGCGCAGAGAGATCAGCCTGCTTCTGAGGCCTCGAAGAATGCTCCTCCAGAGCCGCCGTATCAGCATCCAGTGCAAAAGCCAACTCATCAGCCACCTCCACCACCACTTCCACCGATTCCGCCGCCGCCGCGGGACGCGGAGGTGGTTGACAGGCGCCATCGTTGAGCACAAACGTGAGAATATGCCCCTTTGAGCAATCCTTGAGCTCCCAAAGCATTTCCTATGCCAGGAGGCCCTTCGGCCGGCGGCCTCTTGGAGAGGTGCATGGGTCAGCTCACGAACTGTCGGGGCGAATGTTTCAGGATGCTCCAGGGCTTCATCTCAGTTGACAGCATGCGTCGCTGTCATCTAGGGTGCACCGCGGTCTTCAGGGACACTAAACTCACTAGACATAAAGAGGCATCTGCGCATACCGCAGCCATACGCTTGCGGCTCAACAGGCCATAGGAGGATGGACAGCTGAGCGTTACTTCCAGAAGGTGCGGAGACCCGCTTCCGGCTTGGAGTTGTCAGCTTGCCTCTGGCGATGGATGCATCATTGAAGAAGATCTTAGATGCACAGCTGCAAGATGATCCGATGCACCTCAAACTGCATCGAAGCTTCGGGCCGTAGGGGGGCCCCTGGGCCATCCTGGGCCCTGGTGGGCTCTGAGGAATCCTTGGATCTCAGCTGCTTTCGGCCCGCGCTCGGAGACCTCGGCCTCTCGAGCCCAGAGGACTCGGCGCCCCCCTGCGGAGACATACGAATACATTCTGATAATAAGAAAAACAATCTATTATTATGAATACGACTATGATTACTATAATAATAATAATAACAATAAAATAGCAACAATAATAATTTTCATTATATAGCATTATTAATGGAGACTGAGCTGCGTCACGGTGCAAGTCGGCTGAAGGACGTGACATTCCTTCTTGACGAAGATCTGCGACAGGCGCAACTTGCATGCCGACCATGCGCACATCTTCAGGATCAGCCTCGTGAGCAGCTTTCATTCCGAAGTTGACACCTGTGATCAGAAATGTGACCCAGACCTGTCCGGCAAGGTGGGTCTGAACCTGGTGCAGGTTCGCAAGCTGCAGTCAAGGGCCCGCCAGTGGGTCAAAGAAGACGTGGCCCAACAGGCGGCCTGAGCCCGGATAAAAAAGGAATTCCACTTTATCGAGACGAGCAGCCCACTCATTGACTCATGTCTCTTCCGGCCAGTGCATAGATTCGGATTCTTGCTTTCCCTCGGCGCGGTCACCATGCTCTGGTATGCTCAAAGACAGTGGCTGACTCGTTCAGGCAGCCGTGGCGACGGATGCTCCATGTCGTTCAACACATCGAAAGCGCTGCTGTGAGGACCGGGCGGACTTGTACCCTTCAGTTCTGCGCCGCTGAACTACGTAGGTTACTAGGTTTGAAGCACAATGTGCAAGGTTATCAGTACTTGACTTGATTTCTGCTGGTTTTCTCTTGGCTGGAACGGTTCAGCGTTTGCCTGCTCATCTTTTTGCCGCCCTGAAGTCCTCAAAATCCCTGCTAATCATGTCTAATCTTTGCCTGGAAGTCGGCGAATGAAGACGAGCGTATCGCCAAGCCTCGTCTATCCGAACCGCCAAGGCCAGGGGAAACCGGAAGCGACTAGGGTCGGGGGTGAAGCACTCGGACGTGTTCGTCAGCGCTTCAATCTCTTCCCCTAGTTAGTTGCTAAACACTTTTGGACAAAATTCTCGGTTTGGGGAGGAGACTGTGCTTTCGTGTTCGGTTAGCATGCATATTTAGTGCAGATCTTTGTCGGTGTTCTAGGCTGCTCTCTACAATTCTATGCGCTTCGTTTGCAGAGGGAGGCTCGTGTAGTTCTGTGAAGCTGCGCCCCCTCAGCAATCGCTGCAGTCCTGCGTGAAAGGCTTGTCCCAACCTTAAAAAACATCCTCCTACTAGTAGATGCAATGACGGTTCTGTGGGGCGACTTGGAATCAGTAGTGAGCAGACCTTTGTTCTGATTTACACACGTGAGCTGGCCGGGAAGATGCGAAAATTCTTCGTGACCCATGTGTCCGAGCAAACTCCCGAAGCCCTAAACCGCAAGTGCTGCAGACCTTGCCAGGCTTGTCCGAGTGTGAGTTGTCAAAACATCCGCCAGCGACCTGTGAGCAAAACTGCGCTCGCCAGCCTCAGGCCCTTTGGCATGTGCGGCCGGAACTTCCCTCGTCGCTTGATCTTCATCAGGCGCGTTAGTTCGTCTGTTAGGGCCGCATTGCAGTACAATGCCAAATTCAGGCTGTCGTAGGTTCCGCATCCAGTCGCAGGTGTGAGGGCACCCACGTAGGCCCGATATCGACAGCTATCTCCTCGCGCCTCGTTCTCCGCCCTTGTCTCTCTCCCCTCGACCTTGCTGGAACTAGGAACTAGATACGGTGTAGCTACGTGCCTTGACGGCGCATTAAGGCTTGGCCACCGCAAGGCCGGCCATGGCATACTAAGTTCTTGCACACGAAACCCACAGTCCGATCGGAAGCTTGCCGAATGGAAGAGTAAATAAAAGTCAGCAGCGGCAGAACAGACCTGGGCCCTTGTCGCCCAGAGCACTTTTTGCTTTTCCATGTGCATCCATCGCTTGGGAGGCATGGTGAGTCTGCTCCCCAGAGTGTCGTGAAGAGACCGCGGGAGACTCTTTTGAGCCAGCAAGTAACGACCAAACTAATAGCAAGCATGAGGGCCGGAAGTATGCTTGGCAGAGGTCGGAAGCAAACGCTGCTTGGCACAGAACATGCCACATGTTTTGCAATGCTCGGCTCGCAAAAGGGGCGCACAGACATCGAGACTTTGGCTGGGGGGACTTGATTCTGACTTCTGCAGCCAAGGTGAACCGCAAGATCACAGAGCCTTGGCAGTAATCAGGTCAGTGAAGTGGGGTGCGGCCGAGGGTGAGGAGAGAGTCGTTCAAACGCAGACTCAGGCGACGGTCCCTGACCATGATCTGCACTTGACTGAGAGGCCACAATTTGGACACGGTCAGAGGGTGCAGCATCAAGGGCAGCCAGAAGCGGTAACACTCCCTCCGTGCGAGGGGTCGGCAGCAAGCCGCCGAAGCAGGGCAGAGATTGGCGAGCCTCGTGGGCGACCAAAGCAGCATTAATTTAAATTCACGGGTGGATATCAGTAGAATATGCCACTTCAAGCAGACGGGTCTGACAGCAGAGCAGAGCTTGCTTCCAGCTGTTTGTGTGGGAGTTACCGATGTTTTCGATAGTTTTGTCAGCATGAGCTTGGTGCAGCTCGTTCCTCCTTCAAATGTCGCATGCCGATGGAACAAGTGAGCAATCCTTAGGGCTTCTGGCTTCAAAAGCTGCGCGGTAGTGTTGCACGTCGGTCCTTTATTTGTGCCCTGCCCTTCGCTCATCTTGAGGCGAGGGCTCAGTGAGGCTGGTGCATTACATGTCCACGGTGTAGACTTTGTCCCTTCGTCGCGCGGTGTCCATGCTGTTGTGAGCGTGTGTGCGCCTCGGAAGTTGTTGGTAGGTTCACCTACTCGCCGTACACACGAGCTCGCGACTTGACTGCCTGGGACACTGTGCACTCAAACTGTAACTAACTGGGTACTGTCCACAGTATCATATTGACTTGTGAGATTGAGCCCAACAGCTGTTGTTTCTCTCGCCTTTTGCCCTTCGTCGTGCATGTGCCGTGCATGTGACATCATGCACAAGCGCTGAGTAGCTGTCAGCAGCAGTGTTTTTGCGCAGGACCTCGTACGGAGGTCTCAAGGTTTCCAGCCTGCAGCAGTGATGCAGCCTGAAACGGCGAGGTGAGACGCTGAACGGTATCCTCCGGGCGGGGGCGGTGGAGAAGTGGCCATGCCAGGAGGATGCGCCCTAGCTGGTCTAGCCAATGGAAGGGAGTTTGCTAAGTGCGCCTGGAGTCATGCGGCATGCGTGTCCTGGAAATTTTCAGGTCCGCATTCGCGAGCAAGAGTTCGGGATGCTTTGCTGCACGCTTACATACTTGGTTGTGCGAGCCGTGCATTCGTGTGCCAACCGAGGAACTACGACAGTCCGGAGATCAAGGCTGGGAGATTGGCAAGGAATGAGCGCCAATGCTCCAAACTCTGAATTCATTCTTCTCAGCCCGTTTAGTAGCATGTAGTAGCACTTTGGATCGCACACCGGATGAATTATGTGGATTGTACGGGCGCCAGGAGTACCACAAAGAGAAAGCTTCTTTCGGCCCTTTCTACTACCGATTCCGAGTTTCCTGGCAGCATGGCTTCTGCATGCGTCGGCATTGGCGCTGCGAGAGAGAGAGCGGCATGGGCCACAGCTTCGCCTCGCGAAGCCGACCTAGATGGTCACCTAGAGCCTATTAGCAACTTCGTACCCTGAAGGCGACGACAGGAAGGAAGGAAGGAAGGAAGCAAGAAACGAAGAGGCAAGAGAAAGAGCGAGAGAGAGGCCCTGTGGCAGCTGTCAGGGAAGATCCCCGAGGTGGCATGGCACCATTTTTTTGCTGTAACTCCGCGTGCATCGATGACACCTCCCACCAATTCCCACCACAGTTATGAAAGCTACGTCGTTGTTCTCAGTGTTCGATTCCTGACATGACTTGATGTTCAGGTGCAGTGTGGGAATCCCTAACTCCGGGGGCTTGAAAGACGTGCTGCAGAGGAAATCGGCAGAAGACTGTTGCAAGCCAAGCTGTCTCTTGGACAACGCGCGAGTTGCTACAAGTGGAGCTCCCTGCCACCGTGACCACTACCGCTAGTGCATAGCCAGCCACGCACAAGGGAGCCCTGCACACCGGGGTCCCCAGAAAGCAAAAGCATGCTCCGCCGCATAGCAGCTAAATAGCATACACCACGTGAAGGGGAGGCGACTCTTTTTTGACGTCTTGCCCGTTGAGAAGGCGGTAGTCTGGCAAAAGCAATCGCGTACTCTGGTGAGACTTGAATGTGCAAGCAGCCAGACACAAAGACAGAGGAGTGTGGTGTGGAATCCCCATCTCACCAGGCTCCGCTCAGCCTCACCCGCCGTAAGACAAAGATGAACCCTTTCGGAAGAGCACCTGACATGGGATTGTCTCGTGAAAGGAAATGAAACTGGTCTGACTGCTACGGCTGCTGCTGCTGCTGCTGCTACTACTGCTGCTGCTGCCGCTGCCGCCGCTGCCGCCGCTGCTGCTGCTGCTGCCACTGGTGCCGCTACTGCCACTGGTGCCGCTACTGCTACTGCTACT